GACAGTTTCTTTTTTTTTTCAAGAGAGTATTCGAAATTTTGAGACATAATCAAACATAAAATTTCGATTTTTAAAAGCTTTGTATCTCAATGTTGATATACTCACCAATTACCACCCACAGCAATGTTGATAAGAATAAAGAATGGTTTATCAAATGGCCTAAACATAGTGAGAGTTTTTAAAAAACTTATTTGTTTTAAATGTTTTCATCGATAAAATTGATATCTTACCATTGTTTCCAATCTCCACTTTTATTCCAAACAAAAATACGTTTAGCAAATGTATTTGCATCATCTCCGACAAACATTTCAATTTTATCCACATTCCAATCAAGTGTATAAATTTTAAAATTTGAAACAGCATCATTGACAATTATAGAATTACTTGGATGATTGCCTCTCATGTGATTATATGCTTGTGTGTGTACAGTTGAGACAATACGCAATGGATCATAACCAACTTGTTCCATCAAATCGATTTCACCATTATCTGGCCAATATTTATGACTGTGTGTGGACTTTTCCGGCAACTATCATGTATTTTATATAGATTAAATAAAAACGAAATTTAAGAAAAAGTTACCATCCAAAGAGCTGGCCATAGACCACGACCATCAGGTAATTTAGCACGAATTTGTAAACGACCATATGTCCATTTAACCTTGCTCTTGAGACGAGCTGAAGTATACTGTCTATTTTCCATGTTTTCCTGCAACAAAAATATATATGTAAGATAGATTTAATACAATGTCTTGCTCTTCTCTTACTCGACGTGCTTCAACAATCAAACGACCATTTCTACTACCGGGAAATAGTTCACAACGTGCATTTTCCAATCGATTATTTGTATAATATTGTTGTTCATTATTACCTAAATTAGTAACATATATGCATGATACATAAGAATAAGATAGAGATTGAACAAAAAACAAAACTATTTACCCCAGCCACCTCCACCGACATCAAACTCCCATCTATTAGGATCGACACCACCATTCCAATCAAAATTATCTTCCCATACGCGAACCCATTCAGAATTGCTGTTTTCTAAAGAAAGATATATCATATTAAACGGTAGATTGAACACTCGAATCAGTATTATGCAGCTTTTTTGGCGAGTTAGAGTATTGTCAATAATAGCAAATGTCATTTATTATATGGACCAATAAAAGGAGCTATAGGAATTTTATATTCACGGATACACGTGATGCAATTTGAAATTGTGAGAAGAAGAAAAACGTTATTGTGTATTTTAGTCATCATTAAAATACTATCTCCTACCTATTACGCCGCAGGCCATATTTGGATCATTGGTTGAGAAAGCATCATTTTTGGAAACAGCACCTGATTTCATCCAACAAGTACCACCGTTATACTGATTCCATGCAAAATGAGTACATCCTTGAGTTTCAGAACATTTTTTACTACAAACTTCTCCTGATGTTCGGGCATTAGACAGATCATTTCCACGAAAATCACATGACATAGCCCAATTTTTTCCATTCCAATTGACAATGCATTTGACAAGATCAAGAAATAATATATTTACGACTATAAACTCAAACAAAGTCCAAGTTGACAAAATTTTGATCATTTTGTGATTCCTGATTGTTGTTCAATCAGTATTTGTAGACGATTACTAAAAAGAAGAATTATAGGATCACAGCATAACGAATAAGATAGTCTACTTACTGTCAAAGTATACAGTTGTATTCGGCTGTAGTTTTTGTTTGTTTGGCTATTGTTTATCACGCATATATATATATATGCTGCTCATATGAAGTTACTTGGGTATGTTCCCACTTATGCTTGTTGATTCATAGAATAGGAGAATCTGTTCTTTGAAAACATAGACAAAAATGATGTGTCAACATTCCTGAATCATATATATTTTGATACACTATGACATTTATTTCCACATGGTTTTGCTTTGATGTCTTCTCATAAATATGCATACACGGGAAAAGAACCAAACTAGTAGAAGAACATTCCCTCTTTGAAAAAGTTCTCAACCATTATCAATCAACATCACTTAATTGTATATATTTTTATCCTCATTTATGTTAATACAAGGGGTCTACGTAAGATGGGATAATTTTGTTAAAATTTTTGTCCTATCCCATAGGATAAACATAGCCAATTATGTAAACATTTTTTTGTCAGAAAGGAAGGAAAAATAGAACTAATTTTCTCCTATAGATGGTGTTCTTATCTATTTCAGTGGAGTTAGGGAAAATAAAATTTTATTCTATTCTACAAATGCACATACGACATATTTATTACAGCACAGTAAAATGAATAACAATGAACGGATTAATAAACAAAAGAAGCTATTGTTTCTCTTGTCATAGTTAGATTTAATGAATTGATTTAGATTTTAATAATAACTGATAATATGTTTGTGAAGATTCGTTGTCGTTTATTATCGAATGCTAATCTAATTCAAGAATAGGTGTGGATATGGCGTGTCAGTATGAAAGAAAAGAACATTAACAGTCACGAAGTGAAGAACACAAGGAAAATACTCAATTGAATAAATATATTCATCAAGAATGGAGGATATATGCTCATAAATTGATCCATACGACTTCTTCTACTGAAATTCTTCCTATTTTCTATCAAATGAAAGACCACGTTGAGGTAAGTATTTTTTTTATGAGAAAACATGCTCCTAATTATATAAAAGGAGGGTGAGAAAAAGATTTTTTTTCACTGCAACTAATAGGTCATATGGTTCTCTAGTATTTGTATAAATACCATAATGTTTTTGCTTTAGTCCTTCTGACTTTACAGTCGAAATATGAGTTTTTGAAAATCTCAAACACTCATCTTTAGTTTATCAGAACATGCTTAGTATGAGTCTTTGATCTCTTCAACAGCGAATACAAACATCACTATTCTTTTATCATGAAGAGCTTTTTACATTAGCTAAAAACTTTAACATTGAAATTTCAAATATCGATTGGAAAAGACATCTTGAAGACACACAGAGTGTCATTAAAATGCTAATTTCGACTAGAAATCAATAATATGTTGATTATGTGTCATCGATTAGTACTCAAACTAAAAAAAAACTCAACACCAAAATCGTGTTTAACCATAAACAATTGAGTCGGTCGATTTATGTTCCGAATTCGTACAGCAATTTCATTTTCGTCGAAAAGTTCGACTCGAGTCTTCGCAGAGGTATGTCAAAAAAAAAACGATTTATCTGAAATGTTATTTTGACATTAAAAGCAAAGTCTGAATGTGTAATATTATCACTATTGAACGAGAGATACTATATTTGAAGTTTCATTTCTGGATTTTCTAGCTAATGTAAAGAGCTCTTCATGATGAAAGAATAGTGAGAGGTTAGCTCTTGCTATTGAAGGGATATGAAGTCTAAAAAAGCTAAAGCAAAAAATCCTTGATATTTATAGCAATGCTAGAGGATTATATGATCTCCTAGTTGTCTTGTTACGATCGGAAGAAACATATCAGATTGATCATGAAAGCAAGTCAACTTCAAAATGTTTTTTTATTAATTGAAAAATAATAAGTTTCGTCATAGACACAATGCTTATTTCGACGTGATCTTGCATTTGATAGAAAATAGAAAGAGTTTCAGTATGAAAAGTCTACGAACCGATTTATGAGCTTATCACCTTTCTTTCTTTATGAATTTATGTATCCATTTGAATTATTATATATAATATTATATTACTATCAGCAGTCGAAAACTATTGACGAACGTTCTTTTTTTTTTGTGTATCGACAGCTTCAGTAAATCTTTTCTTTATTTTTGTAATGATCATACTTCAGTTCATATCATAATGGTTGCTCTTCTCTTTGTATAGAGACGACGATGAATCTTCAGAATACTTTTTATCAACTTTACTAAATTCTAAATTAATTCACTGATTCAAACTAGTACAAAAGAAATAATAGCGTCTTTTTCAGTGACTGTTAGTCGTATAAGAAGGATGGGCAGGATGCAATGTAAAATTTTTTGCTAAACGTATCATGGGATGGAACAGAAATTTTGAGGAAATTATTCTATCTTATACAGAGCTCTGGTATCGACATAACAAATGTTGGAAATAACCACAAATTAAATGATATTGATACATCATTTTTGGGTATTTTTTTAAAAAGAACATGCTAATTTTTCTACGTTTTTTTTCCCCATCCATGCTTGTTTATGACCAGACGTCAAGGTACATAAAGGTGAAAACAAATAACATAAAGTATCAACATAACGAACAGTCGAATTATAAATGAATATGTAATGATCACGACTAATTGGTTTTTTACCTACCTTTTGAAAAGGAGTTTCTCCTTTTCTATGAGTCAACAAGCACAAATGGGAACATAACCAAGTAATTTCATTTGAGTAATACATATATATATATATGAGAGAAATGATCATCGATCAAACAAAAACTATAGCCGAATACAATCCTCTTCTTTACTAGTAAGTAGACCATCTTACTCATTATGTTGTGATGATATGAGAGAAAGTTATCTAAGAGTAAAAAAAAATATTAGTAACCAACATGAATATTATACTAAAGCAAACAAATAAATTCATCACTCATGAATTAGAATAACGAATAAAGAAGACGAATAATTTGAACAAAAGTTATACTTTGTCAGATTTGTTTACCAGGTTCGGAGAGAGAATTACAATGTTTCGTAGAACAAGTGAACCCTTTCCCATAAACAAATGTGTGATAGTTGTATTGATCAAAATTTCTATTTCGTTTCACTACATACTTTCAGTTTGATAAGCCTCCCGGAAAGATTGCATGTCCAGTGTGTATAGAAAGCCGGATACAAAGTGAAATGATTATTGAATTTATATAATAGTATAGTATAGTGCTTCTGCAGAGCTGTTGTTCTTTATTGAAAAAACAAATGCGATTTAGTACGTGTGACTTTGTTGTTCATGAAAGAAAACAGATTTTGTTTTTAGAAGTCGTCTATAAATACTGACTGAACAAAAATCAGAATCACAAAATGATCAAAATTCTGTCAACTTGGACTTTGTTTGGATGTATAGTCGTAAATATTTTATTTCTTGATCTTGTCAAATGCATTGTCAATTGGAACGGAAATGACTGGGCTATGTCATGTGATTTTCGTGGAAATGATCTGTCTAATGCCCTAACATCATCAGAACGATGCGGTGGAAAATGTGGTGAAACTCAAGGATGTACTCATTTTACATGGACAGGGTACAGTGGTGGTACCTGCTGGATGAAATCCGGTGCTGTTTCTAAAACCGATGCTTTCTCAACCAATGATCCAAATATGGTCTGTGGTGTAGTTAATGGCGGCCAACAAGGTGCCATCCAGTGGAATGGAAATAATTGGGCCAAGTCGTGTGATTTTCGTGGAAATGATCTGTTTAACGTTCGAGTTTCAGCAGAACTGTGCGGTGGAAAATGCGTTGAAACTCAAGGATGCACTCATTTTACATGGACTCCGTATAATGGTGGTACCTGTTGGATGAAATCAGGTGCTGTTTCCAAAAGCGATGCTGTCCCAACTAATGATCCGAATATGATCTGTGGTGTATTAGGTAGGAAATACTATTCTGATGATGATGACTAAAATGGAAAGTAACGTTTTTCTTCTTCTCATAATTTCAAGTTGCATTACCATGCATGATTTGATAGTATGAGATAGTTTTGATGTGTTCTTAACGATAATGGTATTTCACAGACCTGTTATTTGTATAAGCATCTCTTTGTTTTGTTGTATTGCGTTTGCAATATTTTGATATTGCCAAGAATTGGAAATGGTTCCTCTCACTTCTTAGAAACTTATGGTTCAATCCGTGAATATAAGGTTCCCATAGCTCCTTTTGTTGATCCATATAATAAATGACATTTACTATTATTGACAATACTCTAACTCGCTAAAAAGAAACTGTTGAGACAGTAAACAAGCTGTCCCATCCTCCCTAGACTCCTCATATTCTTCCTTGAAGAATGAGAAAGAAAATAGCTTTATCAAATAAGAAAGTATGATATTCTTCATTCAAACGGTTTTTTAGCGACGTTTGTAGTGTCGAAAATTTGAAAAAAATCAAATTCAAATCTATTTCTTTTCTTCTCTGCGTGCATAATACTGATTCGAGTATTAAATCTACCGTTTAATATGATATATCTTTCTTTAGAAAACAGCAATTCTGACTGGACTCGTGTATGGGAAGATAATTTTGATTGGAATGGTGGTGTCGATCCTAATAGATGGGAGTTTGATGTCGGTGGAGATGGCTGGGGTAAATAGTCTTGTTTTTGTTCAATTTCCATCTTATTCTTATGTATCATGTATATATGTTACTAATTTAGGTAATAATGAGCAACAATATTATACAAATAATCGATTGGAAAATGCACGTTGTGAACTATTTCCAGGTAGTACAAATGGTCGCTTGATTGTTGAAGCACGTCGAGTAAGAAAAGAGCAAGATATTGTATTAAATCTATCTTGCATATATATTTTTGTTGCAGGAAAACATGGGAAATAAACAGTATACTTCAGCTCGTCTCAAGAGCAAGGTTAAATGGACATATGGTCGTTTACAAATTCGTGCTAAATTACCTGATGGTCGTGGTCTATGGCCAGCTCTTTGGATGGTAACTTTTTCTTAAATTTCGTTTTTATTTAATCTATATAAAATACATGATAGTTGCCGGAAAAGCAAACATACAGTAATACCTATTGGCCAGATAATGGTGAAATCGATTTGATGGAACAAGTTGGTTATGATCCATTGCGTGTTGTCTCAACTGTACATACACAAGCATATAATCACATGAAAGGCAATCAACCAACTAATTCCATAATTGTTAATGATGCTGTTACAAATTTTAAAATTTATACACTTGATTGGAATGTGGATAAAATTGAAATGTTTGTCGGAGATGATGCAAATCCATTTGCTAATCGTATCTTAGTGTGGAATAAACAAGGAGATTGGACACAATGGTGAGATATCAGTTTCAGCGATGAAAATATTCGAAACAAATAAATTTTTTAAAAACTCTTACTATGTTTAGGCCATTTGATAAACCATTCTTTATTCTTATCAATATTGCTGTAGGTGGTAGTTGGTGAGTATATCAATCTTGAGATGCTAAACTTTTTAAAATCGAAATTTTATGTTTGATTATGTCTCAAAATTTCGAATACTCTCTTAAAAAAAAGAAACTGTCAGTAGTATTTGAAATAAGAGAAGAAGAGACATATCTCAGAAGATTTCAAAACATATTGATTTCATTTTCAGGGGTGGTTCACAAGGTATCGATAACAATATTTTTCCTCGTCGAATGGAAATTGATTGGGTGCGTTTTTATCAACGACGCTAAACATGTGAACATACATATACATCTCACTCTATTCTACTGTTTTTTTTAATTTTTAATTTAGAAGAAAAAAACAACAAAAAATTGAATAATTAACATTTTTTTAATTTTTTAATTTTCTAATATGACTGTCATGGATTTTTATTCATTTATGAATCATGCATATTGTATTTTTATTGAAATAAAATACCAATATAATAAGAGTCAAGTTAAGCTATTCATAAAGCACTATTGAAACTGATAAACGACAGCATTGACGCGTTCAACTCTACTGGAATACTAGTGTTTAAGCAAAAGACAAGATCATACCGAATCTGATAAGATGGTCTCTCCGATGAATACTTAATAGAATAATTCAATTTGAATTTGAAAAATTCTTAAGATGGAAAACTCACTTCATCTCTCTTTTTTCAGATTACGAAGCATTTTACTGATATACAATACATGTCTACTGTCATCGTATATAACAAATATCCATTTCCCATAATATGAATGCTATATGTCAAAAACCTTTTTCTCCTCATTTTCTGATGGAAAAGAAATGATTGAAGTATTCTTGTTCATATGTTTTTAGCAGAACGCGTAGTTATATTTTCTTTTTCCTCTTGAGTAATATAACAGAAAGATAACAAAAACCTACAATCCTACTGTTAGGTACTTGTCTTTTTTTTCGCGTTCTCTTTTTATGTCTTATGATGATTCATTCATCTTATGTTTCTCTTTAAGAAAGGTAGACATTTTATTTGAATACAGAAGATTTTCACATCAATGACACATATCGTTTGATCAATAATAGCGATATTTAGTAAAGCGGTTGTTATAATAATAGAAATATTCTTTATTATCCTAATCTTCAATCACTTATTTTTATTCAATGTTTTTTTTGTCCGAAACCTTTGTTGAAAATTTATATAGATTCACCCACATACAAGAAAGCACAGAAATTTTTTCGTTTCTTTTTCATACATGATCAGTTAAAAACTCATATTTGCATGACATATACTAGGTGATACTAGTAAAAGACGTAGCATATGATTTGTCTGTAGATGCTATAGATCGTTGAAAAGTGTACGAAGAAATCTTACTGTTTATCTACGAATGTAACAGAAGTTTGATGTTTCACGAGTAACATAGTTTTGTTTACTTTTTCCGGTCTGTCATATGAATCCAATATCGATTACATTTTGTATGGAATTAGCTGAAAAAAGTCAAAATGAACTAATAAGGATTTATTTCACAGATTACGATAAGTACACAAAACTATGGAACTCGAAAAAGTTCACAGTTCTGTTACAATCACAGACGAGCAGTAAAATATCCATATAACGGCTTCAAAATAACTTCAAATCAGAAAAGTTTAAAAAAAAGCGTTTATAAAGCCCAAGTCCTTTCGAGCTGACATTTGGAATAATTTTGTTAAACAGTTTGATGAAATATATTTAAAATCTGAAACAATTGAAGTGAAACAATGAAAGATTTATTTGCTTATAAATAGTGATCAGACTTGAAATTTATGCCCATTATTTTCTTCGATAGTAAATGTGAGTTCTACAAAAAAAACAGAATTCTTATTCTGATTTCATGGCATTAAGATCGATTGATTTCGAACTGATACTTTCGATCAAGATTTACCGAAGTTTGTTTGCACGAAAAAAAATCAGGCAAATAACCTTCAAAGATGTTTTTTTTCATCAGAGTTACCATGATTCTCGAAAAAATCGATTCCCAATATCTTGATCAAACATTCGATCATAGAGGGTGTGGCTATTGGTGTTGGTGTGATTAATCTCTTAAAGAAACCCACACCCACCCTAAAATATGATTGTGATTAAGTATTAAATTTTAATTAAGAGTACTTTCATTTTCATGTTTTTTGGAGAACAATGCCTCAGAAAATTTTGGAAATTTTATAGAAGACAGACGTTAACGAGTCGAGCAAATGTTGTGGTTGATTCAAAGTTCTCTGAAGCTCTCTTCTATAAGATACTACGGTCACAATAGGGGGTGGTAAATATCTTTTTCCCTTTTTGTTCTTTGAATAAAAAAATGTTGAATTATTGAAGATATCTAAACAAAAGCAGTTTTTTTTAAATACAGATTTTTGAGATCTTTTTCTTCCTTCACGTTCATGTCATAAAAGTGTGTTTATTGTCGTCGGACTGTGCGTCTGCAATCTTTTGCGGGTAAAAACGACGTAAAAAAAACACGATCGAATCGCTCTGTAATTGCACCATCTCCTGAATCAAAGTAACACAACATCTTTTTCAAAAGCAGCAAATACGTTACCTACGCTATCAACCTTTTTTTTTCACCCTTAACGAACTTAAAAAAAAGCACTACACGAGAAAAATATATGGCGGCACCACTGCATGATTCAGCACGAGTTCCAAACTATCCAATAGCCTCATTATATATTGATAAATTTGAATATTGTTGCTTTTATTTTAAATTTCTTTTAAATAAAAGATGATCTTCATCCCAATGCCACCGAAGCAATGTTATTTGACAAATTTGCAAGTGTCGGACCAATACTATCGATCCGAGTCTGTCGTAATTTGATTACACGACGATCACTTGGCTGTGCTTATGTCAAATTTTAACAATTAGCTGATGGTATGTCAAAGTTTATAATTTTATCAAGTAGTTGATATATATTCGAATAAAATTAGAAAAAGAAAAAGAATGATTGTTTTCTATTATTTATTCGAGTTGAAAGACATAAGTTTTTATGTCATGAATAGATCATTAAAGATGAAAATAGGCAATCAAAAGATTATGGTTTTGTTCATTTTGAAACGCAAGAAGCAGTCGATAATGCTATTGATAAACTCAATGGTATGTTATTAGGTGGCAAGAAAATTTATGTTGTGCGTTGTAAACCACATAATCAAGAAGCTGATTCTGAAAAAGCACTTAAATTTACTGATTTGATTATAACAAATTTTGATGATCGATTAGATAAACAAATACTAAGTGAAATTTTTTTCAAAGTATGAAAAAATCTTAAACTTTCAGGTAGATTAATTTTGCTCTTAGAAAAATAACATATAATTTTTCAATTTAATATAGGTTGTAAAGAGTAATGATGGGTAGTCAAAAGGTTTTGGATTTTGCAGTTTTGAAAATCCAGAAGAAGCTAAGCAAGTAAAGAAAAAAAAACATAAAATATTTTTATTTTTTATTTATATTTATAATAATATTATAGGCTGTTGAGGCTTTAAATGGATATTCAATTGGTGATACACAGCTTTATGTTGTTGGTTATACAAAAAAAAAGTTAAACGCAAAAACATGAGAAGCAATTTGTATAGAACGGCGCTTCAGCACTAACTTGTGGATAAAAGTTCTATTTTTGTATTGATCTTTGTCTATAAAGGGTTATTTAACTTTAACTACTATCTAGAAATATCATTTCAAAGTGTGTAAGAGAGAAGGCATTTTACTTCCGTAAATCAACGTCATATAAAACATAGTTCGAATGCATTTAGATTTTATTCTTCTTCTACTGAACAAATGTTTTCTTTTACAAACACATAACAATACTATTTATGTCGTATGCATTAATGAAAGAATAAACCATTTTCTAAGTAAATGAAAGAAATATTTGGATTAATATTTTTACTTAAAACATCATTTCACGATGTGAGAACCTGCTAACATTTAGAAAGACGCCTAGTAGAGTGACAATCAAAAATATATCACTCAAATAGATGTTTTGTAAATAAATTATTTTAAAATATACTATAGTAAAATGTATTTGAATATTACAAAGAAAATAGTTGTGTAACAAAAGAATCAAGCACTGATGAATAGAAGAAGCTTAATTTGATTAAAAAAATCTCTTTGAACAATTTTGAAAAGGGTGTGAATGTAAGTTAAGTGTCAGTCATCATCCATATCCACACCCTTAAGATCCCCTGTGAAAAATCTATTTTCGTCCCAGAACAATCGACCTGGCTGAAATACTGAGTTCTTCAAGAATTATCTCTATATCAAGGGTTCAAAAATAGATCTCCGTGCGTCCTAGACTTCTTCCAAAAATTGAATGATACAGATCTCGAGTTTGTGTCAAAATGTAGTCAACCCTTGCTGCTACAACTGATCACAGCCTGATTTTTTAAATTCTCCTTTGTTAATCTTTCGTGTCAGTTTTTCTTGAAAACTTCGAAAAAATAGGGATACTCCGATAGAAAACGATCTATTTTTCTCAAGAATTAAGTCAAAAATTAAAATCAAGCTCTTTTAAGTTGTGTAGCATAAGTTTCTCTTCAATTAAAAACCTTTCAAAACTTTCTAGTATGTAAAATGGCTGAGAAAATCTGAGGCGCACGAACAAAAGCAAAATGGAAAAAAACGGAAGACAAAGTTTAACTTTGAAAATTCTGTCTTTCTTCCTTCGTAGAGCGGTTCACGAGACACTACATTGAGGAAATGCATGAAACGCACTTGCTAGAACATTCAGGATGTGTTCTCTATTTCAGAAGTCCATAGGAAAAGTCACAGGGCTTCAAAAACTAAAATTTAACCAGCATTTTCTGCTTGTGAGTTTTTCACAAAACCTCTTGGAAATCGTAAAAAAACCGTCAGAAAATAATTTGCATGAGATTTAAAGAAAATATGTCAATTAGCTTAGATCATGCTTGGAATCGAATTGAATTAGTTGTACTTAGTTTTGAAAGTCGTTGTAGAACTAATATTATTCAAATCCTCTTCCGCTTTTTTAAAGTGAACTCCCCTTCCTACAGAATAAAAGGGCTCTGGACTCCTAATTGGTTTTGAAAATTACAGGTTTGAGTACGGACTTTTAATACGATCAACTTCTTTCATATTATAACTACGATTTTATTAGCTTATAAGCATATAACTGCTTAAAAATTTATAAATCGGACTTTCTAAGTTGTGTGAAAACTGTTGAATTCCCTACTGTAAGGGTGTAGCTGTAGGGTATGGGTGTGGTACTTGACTTGAATTGCAGTGTTGCACTCACACTCCGCACAGCTTTCATTTTTTCGTTACTGACTTCTTGTATGAACCACCGAGGAATATGAATAGCTTCACCTTTTATACAAACTCGAAGATTTTCTATAGCATATTTATTCGACGAATAATGTAGTCTAAAATACATAATTTTTCTTTCTCATCAAACACGATTTTTGTCCAGCATCGGTAATAGTTGTTGTTCAATTTTATTGTCCCCTTTTTTGTTTCGTTATATTTGTTACTATAATCTGTTGTCTCAATAATGACGTCTATAAATTGTGATAATATTCATCCTAGTAGAAAAATACGTTTGTAGGAAAAAAAAAGCATTTCCATACCAATAAAAAATATTGTGTGAAACATGCTCTTAAACGATTTGTTTGCATTTTTTATGGAACAAGAGACGGCTTTCAATATGTTTGCGTTAGTACATTTAAAGTCTAATGAATGCATGCACGGTGCTCAAAACACAGCATTCTAATGTACGTTTGTGAGAAATTTTTCATACCAATGATAACAAATTCAATATATTTTAATGCTGTTTATTTTGAAATAACAAAGTATTGCTTTTAAAAAAAGTAACAACCTTATTCAAAATATTTAATACAAAACTGATAATCCAACGAAAATCGTCTTTATTTAAAAAGATGCTTAGTACTATTACAACGTAGGAGAGATGAAGGGTGATTTTTAATTTTTCCACTCGAGATTGAAGACAATAAAGAATAACACCACTTACAATCCCAGATATTATGCAGAGAGCAATGTAAACAAGCCATATGGTATTAGATATGAGGGAAATGTGTGGTAAGATTAGCTCGACAGCAAACATAGCGGTGACAGAAATATAGCTTGTAACTTGTAGATAATTTGAAAATGTGGCATAAGGATGCTGGAAAAAAATGTATATCAATCGATACCAAATATATCCTCGTCGTGGTGACCATTGAATAAATTTAAATGGTTTTCGTGTCTAAATTATAATACAAAAATAGATGATGTCAAAAATTATTAGTATGCACAAGACAAACTTACTTGAGCTTCAATCCAAACCTGTATAGTAATAGACGATTGTTCATCAATCAGACGATTCAATCGACATGTGTAAGCATCTTTACTCAATCGTCGCGAGCCAGCCATCAATTTTTCTGGTTGGAAATACCAGCTTCGGTCGATATTACCGAAGTTTGAATTAATCATAAATGATGCATCGGACAAATACTTAAATCCATCAATCAAACGAAACATATCCATTTTCGAACTGATGGATGAAACACGTAAATGTTCTATATTCGGGAAAATACGGAACAATATTTCGATAATATAACTCGTGTATTGAGTGGAAAGATAAATTTCAAGTGTTCGAATTTGTCCCATTTGATGATCTCGGATTTTATCAATCGAATCTCCTTCTATATGTTGCTTAATGGATAATTGATGAAGATGAGACATTCTAGATAAGTATGGTTCTAGCAATTGTATATCCTCTAGTGACAACAGAGTCATCGATTGTATTTGACAAAGGTCAATCCTTGTTGCAATGGTTCTTATCAGAAGGTTAAGGTCATATGTAGGTGACAACATCGGGTTAAAGAAAAAACTCAATGAATTATCAGACGACACCATCGCGAGGTTGATTTTAGTAACTTGCTTGTAGAACATTCTTGTGTTGTATGTTGTCCAAGGAATTGAATCTAGAATTTGATCAACGTTAAGGTCTGCAGGAGTAAAGTGAGGTACTGTGAACAGAAAACGTTGATTGTAAGCCACATACCAACGTTTCTCGACAAGCCAAAATGAAGTACAAAATGATTCGAAATTCTGCTTAGTCAATGTCCCAATAATTCGAATCTTGAAGTTCAACATAGTGAGACTACTTGCCATAATTAGCCAACGATTTCCATCAGCCAAATCATTGTAACCAATGGCATACAATTCAAGATGTGTTAAATGAACTAGTTTCAGCAATAATTGTTCAAGTTGATCCATTGAAACTTGTGAGTCTATTAATTATCAATACAAATAAAAGACCAAATGTTCACATCACACAATACTTCAACTCCTTTTTTTTTTTGTTATTACAATTGTACTTACTGAGAATTTTTAAAGTAAGATATTTTAATTCCGAGTGAGGTAACAGTAAGAAGTTTTCATTGTGTGATGCTTGACCTTGAAGAGATATGTTCAGCGAGAATAGATGTGGTGTTTGAGAGAGAATCATTTGAAACTCATCAATTCTTGCTTTTTCTATTTTCAAATGACGTAGACATGGAAGTTGCATTGTGGGTAAAATTTTGAAATTGGATAAACTTAGTCGTTTCATTTGAGGCATTATTGGAATAACACCTCTCGATAAGGAACAATGCAATCGATTGATACAATCTGAATAATTAAGATTCTGATCATAGTAGTGTGCTTTTATCGTCTTCGAATCATATGTAAATGTATTTAGTCGTTGAAGATGATGTAAGTTTGAAAAGATCAAATCCAATGAGTCAAGTTCAATGTTGATTAATACTAATGATTGAAGTTGAGTGAATTGTTCAATCCGAAAATATGATAAAAACAATGAAGATTGTCCTGGTGTATCATCAGCATCGGAAAGAATCAGTGTAATAACTTGTGAAGGTCGAATTCGACGACAAACAAGATCAAAATAAGACTTAGAAATAGATTTGAAATTGATTTTATATGATGTATATGAGAGTAAAACACTATCAATATGATCACTAATATTTGAAAACGATAAAAGAACTTCATGAGCCAGCAAATAGCTAAAAATTATGTGTACAATTTCGACAGGTAAGAAGTCGAAGAAAGAAGCTGCACGTGTCATGATGGCAAAATCAACCGACGATATCAATAATGTTTAGTGAAATGAAAGCAGCAAGCAACGGGAAAAAATTATAAGAAATGATTCATATTTCAATACTTTCCTACTCAGGTAAAAATAAAAAAAAACACCATGATGGTATCTTAATGTGTTTTTTTTTCGGTATCAGAAGAAGAAAATCAATATTATTTGTTTACATGATATGTTACAGAAGGTATAATGTGTTTGTAGTAACGTTGACTGGTTTCAATACATTTAGCGACTAAAACTTGGAACTACGCCCTTTTTAACATTCAAGAAAACCTGTTATAATGCTCTTATGTTCAAAAAATGTTAAAATATGTTTAGTCAACCAACGAAACTTGCTCAAGGACATTTTTTCGAGAAAAATACATTGTTCTTTAAATATGACACATCACATTTTAACAGAATTTAGAATATGGTAACCATGGCATTGTGTATTTGATTTTGCTATATTTCCA